AAACAAAACAATAAACACATTCTTGTTTTTTGAAGCTATGCAATGGGTTATCTGCGCTCGGACTCGATTTTTAGTGTTATAAGCTCTAAAACTTACCGCTAAGCCACTGAGAGGAGGAAGCACTCACTTTCATTTGTTTCTCTACCCAAGAAGCCCCAAAAACAGGGAACAAACTATCGCTAAGATACCAAGCCAGAAAGTGACCAAATTATTCATCTGTTTTCTTCATGTTTCAGTCAAGATAACTCTACCACTACTTTATCACTAACATTAGTTGAAACCTAAGTCCACTCTATGTGTTTCTGAGCAGTGCACAATGTCATCTCTTAGTCGTAATGACTAGTATTAATTTTTAAAAAATCATAATTCTAGTGTAAACGATGTTATCATTATCCTTTGAACTTAGCTTTCTCACAGAAATCTGATGTTCCTCTAAAAAGCTTAAGGGATTACCTGCCACTAATAGATGAACATTAGATGACTGTAACGTGTAGAATACTCATTGCTTTGCACATTATACAATCGGTGTTATTAGGGAGCCAACCCCTATATTATGAATGAAGTGGAGGAGTAAAAAAAATCAATACACATAATATATATATGTAATTTTATTACACAAATTCATAGAATACAATAACTTTCAGTCAGGGGAAAAAAAGTCACAAAATAAGTCAATTCGACCGACGCCGTAGCGAGAGTCTGTTATAGTCTGTAATAATCAAGACATGTTCTGACTCAACACGGTTTTCCTTGTATGTAAGTCCTAACTCTTAGTTACAATATATTGATGCCTACCCTGACATGACCATGATATTATGATAAACAAACTGCATAACAACAGTCAGGAATATACAACTTCCAACTGTAGTAATATTAAAGTCAAGTGTGCATTTTACAGTGTAACATTAAATTTTAATATTGAAAGTCCTAGTGGGGATGAATTACATATAGCTTATCATCCCTATATTCTTGTTTGCATTCTTTTTGGCACTGTCATCCCAACATCATTTTACATTTACAAAATGTTTTTGTTATTACTTATATATATATATATATATATTCACTTTCGAAGCAATTCAAGACAGAGCAAAGTAATATAACCAATACATTTCAAACTCTCTGTTCAACATCTAAAACTTTCACACTCGTATCTTGCAAATTGTATTAAACTTTACTTTTTTTTGTTACTCGTCTAACCTAATTACAGTTTGGAGACATGACATTAACACATCTGTGAGAACCCAAAGTGCCCCATTGGCTCGGTGGTAAGTCTGCAAGTTTACGACGCTAAAAATCGGGTTTCGATACCCATGGTGAGCAGAGCATAGATAAGCCATTTAACACCATCCAAGTAATCAGCAACAAAGAACACAAAGATATGCCTTTTCATTCTTAATCGTATGACATTAAAGGTATCAATTCGATACCAGCCTTAAACGAACAATATTTTAAAGTAATAACGAATATTACCTTCAAAAAATGAATCACAGAACTTCACATGAGCGTTGATGAAAACGTGAATGATACCCTGAATTCGATACATCATATTAAGTTGATTTATTCCTGCTTACAAAGAATACTTTAACAAGTCGTCATAATATTCAGCAACTTACTTTGTACTGCTACTACTACTACATAATTTACAGAACAGTTTCAAACATTAGTATATTCATGTACGCTACTGAATGTCGTACAAGTATTAATACCCTAAAATAATTCTGAACTTGATATAAAACAAGAAGCTTGGTTTTCTGCTCAATTATTTATGTACCAGAGGAATAAAAACAGCATGCACGTGGGTTTTAAATTCTCGAGATTATTTTGTAGAAACATTAAAAATACACAAAATGGAAAGTGTTAGATACATAAAACTTTGGGACTGAATAAGAGTTTCAGGCCATCGTTTGGATAGTAAAATACGTAGTGGTATTAAAAGATAGAAGTCTACTCATTAAATCTATGTACTTTTGTTTTGTTTTCATGGAAATTAGAAAAAACAAAAAATTAAACATGTGTAGTCTTTCTGCTGATTGAGTATCTGTGTATCTGTTACCTGGTTATTTGGGTATCTGTAATCTGGGTATCTGTTATCTGGGTATCTGTCATGTTTCGACCAGATAGATCTCACTCTTTTAGTTGTTCGAAATCATTAGCGGATATTATAGTTGGTATTTAGATATCACATATAAATTTTGCTTGTTCGAGCATTATTTATCTGCATAATTAAGCACACTAAAGTTATCGTAAGGAATTATTTTACTTCTAGCCAAGTTTCTATCTCAAATGTTTAGAGAGAAGTAAAAACAAAAGAATAAAAAAAAGCCTGATTTGTTTCTGCACTGCTGCTGTAACATTTGTGAAACTTTGTGTTACAGAAATGTTCTTACACACGATGACGTTAACATTTAACCGTTACTTCTTATGTCCGATTATCTTAAATAATAATGAAAGAGGGTTATTCTAACATTACATCTCAACCCATCCAAATATAATAATCAAATTGGCGTATTCTAACGTTATCTCTCAACCCATATAAGTATAATAATGAAATGGGCGTGTTCTAACGTTACCTCTCAACCTATATAAGTATAATAATGAAATGGGCGTATTCTAACGTTATCTCTCAACCCATATAAGTATAATAATGAAATGGGCGTGTTCTAACGTTACCTCTCAACCCATATAAGTATAATAATGAAATGTGCGTGTTCTAACGTTATCTCTCAACCCATTTAAGTATAATAATGAAATGGGCGTATTCTAGCATTACATATCCATTCCGATTGGCCTACAGTAACAGTGAAACAGGTGTATTCTAACATTACATCTCAGTTCCGATTATCTTGCCGTAATAATAGAACAAACGCATTTTACCTGAAGGAAGAACATCAAACTTTAGCGAAAAATGTAAAAATTACTTCATAACATAACAGACCAAGGTCGGCGCTAGGGGGTTGCTGGGGTGGGCCATACAGTCCTAAATTTCATTCTGGTCTACCTAAGTTTATTCTCTCAAGCGATTTAAAAATATTTTATTATTAATTTCAAAACAACAACAACATCGAATGATATTTTCTAAATCAACAAAAGTTCCAATACCACCCCAACCCCCAAGGGAGAGAAACTGGAACAAGGCCTGCAATAAATCAGTGGTTCTGTCTCACTGGAAGATAAATCTTCCATATGGGTTAATTAAGACATTTTTTTCTTGATTTTTTTGGTAAATTTGGACATTACTAAAAGACAGATCTCAAGATTAACAAATCAATATATCTTTTTCAATTTTCAACCCCTGATTTCAGAGAAGGTGGCCCCATTCACCACGAAAATGAAAAAAAGCTCATTTGTACATTTAACACGTATCTTAAACTAATGAAGACTTGATATCCCACCCCACCCCAATTTGAACATGGTGACTGTGAACATTAAAAAGTCCCTCCTGCATGTTCAATTAACGTTATCATAGCAACTTCTTGATATAAAGGTAAGATTTGTGACGATTAACAAGTCTTGCTTTTGTATTGAACTTGTAGGCTAAAATAATGACGCCATATCTTTTAGGAATAAGAATGTGTTACAGGTAGAAATTAAGGAGCCTAAGGTTCAATATGTAAACTCAGATAGTGATGTCTCCTATAAAGTGGTATGAAAATTATTTTTAAATTATTTGTTTTTAAGCAAAATATGGTCTACTGTATCTTAAAAAAAGAGTAATAATAAAATACAACAAATGTTTACAAATGTAGAATTTTTAAGTCATAGTTAACGAAGCAAAAGGACCGAAATAATCCGACAGTTCAACTTACAAAACTATTATATAGATTTCAAAATTTCTGTTCTTCTCCTTCAGTAGTGTTATAGTAGATAAAATCATCATATGTAAATTTGTTAATTATTTTATGTTAATTAGTTCCTTCGCATATTTTTACTAATAGGATACCAGTCTTAGTTGCCGAAAAAGTGTCTCACTGGAGAGCAGAGTTTACAAACTCTCTCTCTCTAGGTTTACAAACAAACATGGGAAAATAACATCGTAGATCTTATTCTTATTGCTTAGATTATCCTCAAGTATAAGTTCTATTTTTACTACAAGCTACGTTTATTCCATAAGCAAGACAATGATTTTTTTCGTGGTTTTCATTTATTATTTGTTCTGCAAACAGTTTAATTTGATGTGAAATATAATCATAACAAGTTGACTCCTTGTTCACGGAAGCACTTTATGCTAGTATAATAGTAAATTGACAAACAATGAATACGACAAACCAATTTTCCGTCCAAGCATGTAACAAGTTCTCTAAAATAAAACCAATTCATCATGCTTACAGATCGTTGTTTGTAAATTTACTATTAAGTTGACTCCTGTCCAATACACACCATAGCTGCAGCTGTAATCTGAGAATTTCTGCTATGGTAAAAGTCACAATATACAATACCCGTCATTTTGTCCAGCATGATCTAATTAAACAATAGCATTTCGCTTCTACCTGAATAGTAAACAGTTTTTATTATATATCTATTGATGACAATATATTTTGAAAAGGTGTTTTTATAGCATAGAAACTTTGAACAGAAGAGTGACTGTCAGAGACAGTAATTTGTACTCAGTACTCCGTTTTAACACCTCTTCAGAACAAAACACCCAAAGTTACCACTCTCGTTTATAGTATCTGATGGACATTGGGATTTTAGAAGAACCAGTACTCTGAGATCTTGCCTTGGGGGGCATAGCTTGTTGAAAACAAGTTCTTTGGCTAGAATGTTCTTCATCAGGAAGATCTGGTTCGTTAGAATGTGTTGATTTTTTATTCAAATTAGAAGAAAGATTCGACGCTTGTTCTTCATTCAACTTTTTTTCTACTTTTGCCTTATAACTTTCAATGAATTTTTCCATTTCAGCCAGGAAGTCGTGGTCTGTATCAAAGTTGACGTCCTTCAGGAGTTTTTGCATTTTATCTGTAGGCAGTAGGGTTTTTTTACTAGCTGTCTGCTTCTGTGGGTTATGCCTAGTAGTAAAGTCAATGCTTCTTGCTCTTGGGACTTGGGGTTTTACAGGTGATTGAGACCTTTGTGGTGTATGTTGAAAAATATCTGTACTAAGGGGAACTCTAGGAGAACGCTGACGAAATGACCACGTTTTGTAGCCAGGACCAATTTTAGCTTCAACATTGGGAGTCCTCGGGGCTCTATAAGAATGTCTACCTAGACTGTTTCTGGTTAAAAAGAACCCATCCTCTGTGGATCCATTTTTGTGAGGCCGACTTTTTGTAACATCAAGTGGAGAACTGAAAGAGTCAGAATACCTTCTTCCTTTGTTATTGTCAAGCTCTGTACCATTATTACTTAGTGGAGGGACACATTGTTTGTTGATGATCCTGCTAGGGTACATGTTCTCGGAGTTCTCCTTTGTATCTATTGTTTTCAGATAATGGTTAGAAGTGTTTAGGAATATGGTTTTTCCACCTGGTCGAGGAGCTGAAATCTTGCTACACTTTGAGTTTCGAGATTCTTGAGGAGCACTCATTCTTCTCATTGAGTATTCAGTCTCTAAAGGTAGAGAGTCATGTCCATTTGCTAGACTACCGTCAGATTTAGGCTCTTCTCCATTCTTCCCCATTTTCGTTACCTTACATGGGGCCCACTTTTTCTCTCTTTCGACCTCGAGGTGTTCCGCATTGTTCACCTGAGTCGGTTTGAAGCGTCCACATAGTTTACTCATGTCTTCAACGCAACTGCAAGACGACGAATCGTTGTCGAGGTAAGAATATTTTGAAGAATGTTTGAGCGAGTCACTCGTATCCTTGTGATCAAAGCGAGGAACTGCCGTGTTCGTCATTCGGCGGCGTGTCTGTGGAGACGAGGGAGGGCTTTGTGGTTTGGATCCAGGAATGTTTGGCTCGGTAGGTCTAAATAAATAAGACAAATTTATTGAGAATTACACTGATGGCTGCAAACCAAAACGAAACAAACTGATGCTTGACTGCTCAGTAAAAAAAATTAACTAGAAACGTCTTAACTTCTTGTAGATAGATCGTACATTTAGATTATACCTGCATCATTAAGACCGTTTAGAATGTTTCTTTTCATCAAATTTTACTTGAAAACAACAAAGGAAATAAATATTCTATAACACATTTTTAAGGTAAAATGAAATACAATGTCTGCGTAGCTATAACTCTGCTTGGAATAATTATTGTGTTGTTGACAAAGAATTTTTGTTTTCTAATTTTTTAGTGCGAAGCTAACAGCGTACAGCCATTCTCATTTTGAGCTGATTATCTGACAAAATAGTGGATTGGATTCGGATTCACAGTATGAGCATGTAACCAGTAGGCCACGCCTGACCTGTTTACAAAGAATATGGTTCTTTGATGCAATGACTTACTGGTAACACCACAGATATTTTTTAGAAATTCGTGATGATTCTTGTTTGTTTGTTTGAAGTTAAGGGCAAAGCTAAACAATGGGCTATCTTTGCTCTGCTCACCACGGGTATCGAAACCCGGTTTCTAGCGTTGTAAGCCCGCAGACATGCCGCTGTGCCAATAGGGGGGGCGACGAGTTATGTGTCAGGGATTTAGGTTTGGTTAGTGTGAATTTAATCATGCAGGTTTTGTTTCATTGCTTTAATCCTGAATACAGTTTTATTTCAGACAAACATCTAAAATCAACGTTTATAGTACACTATATAAAAAAGTTCAACTATACTAACCGGCTGTAAGTAACTTGCATGTAAGGAGAGTTCTTTCCAGGGGAAATGGTCAATTTCGCTGAAGTCGAAAACCTGTGTCCTGCAATAAATTAATAGTAGAGATCATAACTGATCTGCATGAGTGACATTTTTTTTTCTAAATACTATTTGTACCAAGGTAATGTAAAGCGTGGCCAACTCATGGAGCTCTCAAAGTTGCCACCCCCTACAACGTAAATTATGTTGTATAATCTCCATCTTGGTGTGTTGTATTATCCTCATATACCGTGTATTATAATCAGAGACAAATTTTGAATAATTCCCCACCATACATGTATAATGATCCAAATGACTCCCGTATTTTGTATAATACACTTTCACACATGTTGCATATTCACGCACCAATGTTAAATAATCACACATACACATATTGCACAATCAACACGTATATGTTGTTTATTTCTCTACACACATGTCGTACAACCAAGCACACAAATAATGCATTAACTTATCTAACAGCTGTTAACCTTCACCCGCGAAAGTCGTGAAATTTCACTGCATATGTGTTTGAAATATGCTCTTAGCATGCTTGAAAAAAAACTGTTTAAATTAAAGTCACTTTAAATTAGGAAATACAGCCTAGATATCTTGAACTATGTTGGATACATTCGGATTTGAAAAGTTGTATTACGGCATTCATGAGGCATGTGAGACTCAATTGTTTTTAATCAAATTAAGAGATGTTTGGGGCCTAAATTATGATTTACGAATCGTTTTATAAAAAGTATTCGTTAAATTAAAGAGGAATTTCGATTCTTTTTAGAGATGTTTAATTTATTTTTATTTTACTAAAATACACATACATGTATATGTACACATATACAATATCCTTAAAGCATGAGGTTTTTGTTAATTAGGTTTTTCAAACAGGTTGTTGAAGTTTGATGTTAATACAATCTGCTCATTTATTTAACAATAGCCGTACAACAACCAAAGCTACTGTCGCATCACATACAGCCACGCAGCGTGTTAAAAACAATATAAAGATAATTTTAATACATAGAGGTATATCTTATTCTATATTTTGTTATCGGTTCGTCATATAATTAAAACAGAACGGTCCCAAGAAGAACAAATAGGATTGCTAATTAAGCTTTACCTGATTTACAGCGACAGGGGTCGTGCTTGTCGAGGTAATGCTCTAAGGTATCCCAACCTCCTCCCACACGAACCATCACATGATTACGAAGAATCTTGAGCAGATAAAAAATAATAATTAATAAGCTTGCACTATTTTAAATATATCAATAATCTAATAACCTATTTTCACAATTATTTGGGATGTTTGTATTTGGTTTTACAGATTAATGATCGATCTTGTGTTAAATTGAGAAAATGCTAAAGTCTGGATTAAATTATCCATTCCAGTAGTTTAGCTTAATAGCATTTTATAATATTAACCAAGAGTTTGTTCATTTAACTTCCAGCTGATAAGGTGCTCAACAAAGCAGAAGAAAATTGAAGACCACCCTGTGTTTCAAGAATATATAGTATTCTAGTTTAAAATAATGCAGGTGAAGGACTGTGAGCTCACGTAAAAGGTTTTGTTGCGTCAGCGAGTCACATGACTAGTGTGACGCCACGTTTCTAGAACTATCCCGTACCTTGGCGAATGCTCTAGTATTTACTAGATATAGGGTAGTCTGGTATATAAAAGAGGGTGACAGCGTGACGGAAAAATAATGTAATGTAATGTGTGTGTGAAGATAGTGAGTAATTGAACTGCAGTCAGAAGTATTA